AAGAGAGACACTTTCTAAAAGAACAAGGCATTAATTTCTTTCCCATTTTTTTGTCTGTAGGAGTTTGCTCTGAAGTGGTGGGCTCGTGTCCCTTTGAGCTGCCATACCTGGTAAGAGGTCCACAAACCATTTGTACTCTCAGCTCTATGTTTCCTTACCTCAGCAGACCTGTGAACACAGCCACCAGACCACACTAGCTGGTGTGAGGCAATGTTCAGGGTTTAGCTATACTGGGAAAGGGTGGCTGATGCAGCTAGAAGCAGCAAACTGTGTCTTCAGGCTCAGGTGTAGCTCGAAGCAGCAAAACAAGGAGTGCTTCTTCCTAGTGTAGCTGGAATGCTGTGACTTGTGCTGGCAATGAGCTCTTACCAGGTAACTGTTACCTGGGCTTCTTGCTTAAATAAAAGCCTCATAAAAAATAATCATGTCCACAACTTACATAATTGACCCAACAAATATTTTAATAACTAGCCTTAGAAAAACAGAGAATGTAAAAAAGTCGTAGAATGAAGAAAAAAAAAAAAGAAGAAAAAAAAAATTATTTCCAAAGAAATATTCATGAGGATTAAAAGATAGGAAGATCATTGCTGACAGCAATGGAAATCATTGGTGACTTTAGATATGGATTGAAGATATGACTGAAGGGAATGAAAAAGTGGTTCAAATGCCCCCATGGCATTGTATCATTTCAAGAGTAGCATTCTACAAAACCCTTTCCACTTGTTGCTTTGCTTTTCACTCCTGTGTCCTCACATCTCTTGACATTTTCTCTGCATATAAGGAGAAGCCCCCTTGGATACGTGTTCCATAAAATTCCGAAGGTGGGAGCTGGCCAATCCCCTGCTCCTTACACATCCCTTTGAGTTTCCTGCTAACAGTAACATCATGTTGTCATCCCATAGGCCCTTTCTTAACAAGGGAAAAAAGCTTTGGCAAGGGAAGGTGAAGACGTTATGGAAAAGCAAAGATGTTAAGGTAGGAGATTTAAGAGGCTGGAAATGCAGCTGCAGAGTCTCAGCCACGTCCCCCAGGACCCAGCAATTCAGAGCACTTTCTGCATTTCACCTTGACGTCCTCTGGTGAAAAAAAAGACTGAAATGGGCTCTGATGTGCTTGGTATGGGTGAGGAGAAGGGAAGAGAGGCTTTGCACTTGTGTTACTCCTGGGAAACTTCCCACGCTCCTGTCTGTGTAACTTGGCTAGCGCTGACCCTTTGGTGACAACCACTGTACCCGGACTGCAGAGCAAACACAACTCCACCGCACATGCCCTGTGCATCCATGCCTGACCTTCCCCTCTGCTACCTTCTCTAGAGGCAGAAGCTTCAGAGAAGACACCCAAAGGTAGCTGCCTTCCTCAGCAAGAGTCTTAGATCCAGCTCTGAAAGCCACTATCATTTTATTACCGCTCAGGCAGAGTAGAATTTTCACTTGAATTGTGGCTTTTCCATGGGAGTCTGCTAGGCTGAGTGACAGCACATAGCAAAAACTTCTGTATAAATGACACAGCCTCACCATAAATTTTGACTAACAGATGCATACTGAGGTTGATAGCACAGTTTGATATTGCAAATACGACTCTTCAGAGAAGTGTGAATGACAATGTGTTTCATTTAATGAGTAAAAGGTTGTTGGTTTTTTGGGGTTTTTTTTATTGTATGTCTTTATGAGTTATTTTACTGCTTTCTAAGCAGTGACTTTTCTCCAGGACATTTATCCATTAATTAGTTAATGGTGTACAAGCCTGGTTAGCCTTAAGTAAGAGAAGCCTAATAGAGATTTAAGATAAAGCACTGGTGAAATTTTTGAATGAATTTTCAAACAAATTTAGAAATTTCAGAATGAATTTTCTATTGAAACTACAAATGCAAGACAAGCACCAGGCCAGTCATTCACAGCAGAAGCTTGGAAAGGCTGTACCTCTCCCTCCTGGAGGGAAAGGTGTTAGGAGCAGCTTCCTCTGCTGCTCTCCAGGGAGCACCTCTGAGGTGACTCTGCCAATGCACAGCTTTCCTCCATCTTTTGCTTTGGAGGTCAGAGGTAGAGTACACCTGTATTTCTTAACTAGCACTTTCTAACCAATGCCATCCTTTCCCAAGGTGGTTAGGAAGAGCAGAAGGAACCATTGTCCATGCAGCAGGTGAATCTTCAGAGAGGTTACCAGAGCAAGGTGCTGGCATCTGCTGTGTTTGCTCCCACTGATGTCCTTCCCATCCTCCTGCACTGGACCTTGCTGCACCAGCCATGGGATCTTTCAGGGTTTACAGTGGCCCTCAGAGCATGAAGAAGCGCTGAAGTCTGATATTCCTGTGGAGCCGGGGTCCACAGGTGCCAGCAGCAGCCTCAATGCCCATTGCAGTGAGCACTGCTGGAAGGCTAATCCCCAGGGAAAGGCAACACTTAGGAATTGCTCTGTGCTTTTAATTTCAGCAAAAACAAAGTTTTAAGGTATTGCCTCAAAAAGAGTGAAAATTGAGGGAAAAGACTCCTGATCAGTATTATATTTGTCTTGGAAGTTGGAAACAATTTTATGACATGTCATATATTTTTACAGTTTTCCCCCCATTTCTCCACATGTCACTCATAGGATATAGGCATCTTTAAACTCCATGGCATAATGTAACAATAAAAGAATGTTATAACAGTTAACCTCATTTAGGCCAGTTGTTCCTACTGAATTGGGACATTTTTTCTCATTTTCTAGATTAAATCAGGTCCTTGGTCTGTCATCAAACGATCAAAAAATAAAAGCAGGAGACGCTTTGTTCTAGTAAGTAAATGTTTTGACATATGCAAACCTACTCGTGTCCTGAGTATGCAAAGAAAATCCAGGTGCAAAAATAAAAATTCCAAGATGGAGATTCTGAATTTTGTCAGACAATTCCAAAGTTTCTCAAAGATTTAAACTACAGTTAAAAAAAAAAACATAAAAAAGCTTACTTGCTTTTTTTGTTGTTGTTGTTGTTCTAGTGAAATTTTCTATGCTTTGTACTTATATGATAAATATATTTTCATTTTGAAAAATTCCACAGGCAGAGCCAGTGGGAAAAAAGCTCTGTGGGCTGGGTTGGGCAAACAGAGATGTCAGGAGACACTGCAGAAGCTGCTGGCAGTGGGATGAATCTGTGTACCAGCAAGAACAGTATCTACTTCATCTAGCTTGGGCTCCACTTCATCCAGGAAGACTTCCTTTTGAAGGGGGAGATTCCAGTCATGATGGCTCCAACCAGTAAAAGAGGTAGCCTCCCAGATTTACTTATCTCAGCCCTCTTGAAAGCACCCCAAACTTCCTTGGAAGCAGTAACCAAACAAGAGCTGTAAAATACTGTTTTCCCTGGTCTGGCTGAACTCACGACTCAGCATATGTGGTGGGGAGCTCCTAAAATAGCTCTCTATTGCCTCACCAGCCTCAGCAGCAACTTGAAAGTCTTTTGCCTTCTGGGACAAACTGGAGAAGTTTTAAAATGTTTGGACTTATTTTGAAAGTACTGTGAAAGATAAGAATGATCTATTCCAAGGCTGGTTGAACTGAAGGTCACAGCTAAGGCATTGCACAACAGACCCAAGTAGGTTCAGCACAAAACTTGCTCAGCATTTGATCGGCTCATCTTCATTGCTGCTGCCGCCCCTGCCTAAATTCAGGTTAAAGCTGAGTCCGTTTGACCTGGCACCTCACTGGGCCTAACAATCACAATGGTTTGTCCCAAAAATCAGTGGGGCAATGCCAAGGCAGAGGACACAGGTTGTTCCCTGGCAGAGCCTTGTTGGAGAAGTCTTCTGAAAAAAACAAGCGAAAAAAGCTCTTGTTTGTGAGAGGAAGCTGTAGTTGCTGCAGGACAAGTACATTCTCACTCTGGGAGCTTTAATGCACACCTTCTCCGGGTCAAAGGCTATTTATTCTCTGTCTGGATCTTGTCATGTTTCAGGCTATCCCTAGTTAGAACAAAACCTGAACAGCTCTTGCTATGTTTAACAAGGGATATCCCCAAGCTGCTCTTTATTGCTGCAGTACTTTGGCATAGCATTCCTGTGGGCTCTGCACGGACATCGCAGTTTGTCCCCCGGAGTAATGAGAACCCCCTCCCACCCTGTGAGGAAAAGCTCCTTTTTCTTGAAAATATAATTTCTTCCTGAAAGATGACTCCAAAAGACCATACACATCTCTGGCTTCCCAACAGGGTGGGAGAAGAGTTTTTTTGTCAACATGTCCCTCGTTTCCAAGCACACTCTCCAGTGCCTCAGCCAGAGCCCTCGGTATAGCCTTCTGCTGAGTCAGGCTGCTGGTTTTATTATCCCAAATCCCAAATGGGTGGTTTCAAATACTCCAGGCATTTTTCAGAGACAGTGTGAAACCCAGCCAAGCCCATGGTGTGGGGTGTAACCCTTCTCCTGACAGGTCTGCAGTTGGACTGGTCAGGCGAGCTGGTCTGCAGCTGCAGAGTACAGCTGCCACCCCTGGGGACAACCCCCTCTGTCCTCAGATTCAAGTGAACTTTGTGATTTTTAGCAGCAGTAAATGATCCCCCTGGGGGTTATTTGACCACCAAAACTACACTGGCTTGGCTGAAGCATGGAAGGGCTGAAGCCCACGTCAGTATGTACTGACATATATTAGTGGATGCAGGCTGGGGACCCCTCCCCAGCCCCAAGTCCCCCACCAGTCATTTTCACTTGCTGCTTGAAAATCACCCCTTGTCCAGGTCCTATGTTTACATGTCTGTCTATGACACAATAAAACAGAGCAAAGGCAAATGTGCAACGTAGAGATCCATTATGCTTTATTTACATGCGTCACCATTTCTTTTACAAACTAGATTACAATTTAAAATGGAATACACAAGGCAATATCTACTAACACCAAGTGGAGTAAGCACTGCGTCTCTACTTCATTTGGAAAGGGGCAGGTTTTGCTCCAAAACAAACTTCCTTCCAACCTCTGAGTAGTAAGGTAATATATTCCTCCAGGGCAGCATCTTTTTTCGTTGGTTTTTTTTTCTTGTGTTTTTTTTTTTTTTTTAATATAAAATCCTCAGTAAGACTGCAACGTGAGAGTGTCTGCTTTCAAATGAAAGTACAAGATAGCCCAAATGAAAAGTAAAAACTGTTCAGCTCTTCGGTATGTAAAGACGGCCATGCGCGATAAGGCTGTGGATTTAATATTCTTCCAATTTACATGGCTTGAAACAGAAACAGATAAAACAGTTTTACAGATACTGTATACATATTTTTTCCAATCATGCAACTTTTTTAACAAAAAGTTAAACATGTGAAGCCAAATGTACAATCCATTTTTTCCAACCCATAGTTACGAAATGTATCTGGTCCCCCTTCGCATCTGTTGGCAATTCCAAAGGTATATTGTGTACTTGAAACACTTACAGGACACCAATTGCCAAGCAATGATATAATTTTGGAGAAATACATGACCTAAAAGGTAACTCTTTTAAGCAGTGGCACAAAAATTTCTGGAGTTAAGCAGTGTTTAACTATCTGATTATTCTTAAGAGATTTTTTTTTTTCACAAAATCATTAAATCAAGCCCCAACCTGTGACTAGAAACTGCATAAATAACACCTTTTTAGACCTTTTGTTTAGACCAAGTGTTCTAAAGATAACCATGTAATTGTGACCTTGACCTTCATCTGTTTTACACGATTTCACAAGGAAAACTTCCAGGCATAAACATGTTCAAAGACTCAAAGGCCAATTTTTCAAAAAAGCAGGTTCCCCAAACTAGCTATTCAAGGCTTAATTTTGACACCTAAATACCTGGCCCTTTGAATTCAGGGAGATTTATTTAGCACCTCTGGAGTGAAGGGCCTTTGCTGGGCACCTCAGCAGGTGTAGAGGGTGACGACCGTCCCCAGGCCTGGGGGGGACCTGTCACCTCCCCTTCCTTCAAGAAGCCACGAGGGCAGAGCAGCTCGGCCCCTGTGACCACGCTGGAGTCCCCGATGTTTGGTGCCTGACACCAGGCACTTCTGCTTGAAAATTTTGGCCCCAAAACTGAGCAACACAAACCAAACCAAACTGAAGAGGATGGCCAAGTCCATCCCTCTTCAGTGGGTGCTGGGATGTTCTCCAAGGCAGGGGCCCAAGCTGTCCCAGCTATGCCAATGGAAATGCTCTCCTTGACATTGCTGGGAGACAGGTTAAGCCTTTCAGCCATTAATGCTTTTATTATTTCTTTTTAAAAAAACTTCTCTGACACTGATGGGCTGTCTCTAAACCAAGTGTTTTTTCTCCATTTTCTGAAGAGAGAAGGCCATAGTTTCATCTCTCATTTTTTTCAGTGGAAAGCAGTTCCCCTGAACCCAAGCAGTCTAAGTTTCTGGAACAGAGCAGAATTTGCAGTCTTTTCAGTTAAATTTTCAACAGGCCTTCCCTTGCATTTGACAAGAACTGAATTTGAACTAAGAAAAAAACTTAAGTTATGGGGTTTGGTCACTTAGGCTATACCATGGAGTCAGGCTTTACTGATCTGCCAGTGATAGTGTGTCTTTGGGCAGCACCAGGGGTCTCACTGGAGGCTCATCTGTTGTAGGGATCAAAAGCTGCATCTCAGCATGGGGAGGCGCCGAGTGAGCTCTGCCGACAGCCAAAATGTGGGGCTGGGGAACAAGGCCAGCCACAGCGCAGCAGCTGCAGAGAAACCTCAGCAAAAGAACACCAGAAGGAAGTGCTTCAGCATACACTCACATTTTGGGGTGTACCAGGAAGCTAAGAGCTAATGGCACATGCTCAGATGAGGCCAGTGATGAACTCTTGTCCAATTTCAGTAAAAGGTGCCTGCAACTGGACTTGGGTAAGCAGGGTGCACAGCTATGCCACACGAACATCCTGGGAAGCCGGCTGCTGATAGACATCGGCAATGGGCACCAGCCAGCTCCAATGAATGCAATAAACTGGGTCACACACTAACAAATAGAACCCCTCAGTGTAAAAAGAAAAAGAGAAGTTTTTTAAAAGGCAAATGATAAACCCTTGGCTGCTTGGAAGAGTTGATATGCTACAGGGCTATGCTAACCACAACTGCACAGAGCCTACACAGTCAAAACTGGCAGGGGAGAAACCAAGAGGTGCATCTTTATGAGAGAACAGCATGGGAGCTACGGTACAAAACCAAAACTTCCATCACACTAGGAGCTGTTGTTTCACCAAAATCACCTCAGGGACCTGGAAAGTAAGGAGTGAGGAAGGGCCCACGAATGTGTGTGAGTATTGGTGTATGACTGTGCATGTGCAGTGGCAGTGGCGAGAGGGAGTCACTCCACATTGCATGGGACACGGGTCGGTGGGAACTCATGCACTGAGACTTTGGGTTAAAATGCTAGTTTTGTTTTCCTAACATCCATGCATAATGATCCATTTCTGTACATAATAAAATATATTTATATATTTATATGCATAATGCTTTTATGCAAAGGAAAAAAAAAAAACTTCATATATCGCTTTGGAGAATTATGTATACACTGTCCTATTCAGAAACTCTTCATACCAAGTTCCTATGTACCACTGGTGTTTTCCCCTCTTTTTTTGTATCCCTCCCCCCCCAGGATACTAATAAAAAGCAATCAAACTTTCCAGATTATAGACAGGATCTATACAGCACCATACCTTTTATTCATTATTATTATTAATTATTATTCATTTTACAAAAGAAAATCTTAGAAGCAAAATATATAAAACTGCCTTGTCTTTCAGTGTCATTTATCCTGCTACAGTCTACGCTCATATGAAAAGCCATTTGTATGATACTGTCACTTTGCCATTCCCACTCCTGCTTCTTCTGCCACAATGGATTATACATAATGAGAAGGAAAAAATAATCAAGGATATGTCCAAAAAAACAACAACAAAAATAAACAGGATCACTAATGCCATAACACACCCTGCAGCGATCTATGCCTCAGCTCCTGGCATTGTCACTGCAAGTCACCTACCGATGCCCAGCTGCCCATTCCTTTAATTTCTGTGTTTTCAAACACATCTCTACAGGTAACTAAATCCACCTTGTGTGGCAGCTCAGCCCGTAACTCCTCACCAGCTCACTGCAGCAGTGAGGGCAGCTTTGCTAATGTGAGGCAGGAGGGGAGCCTGCTCCAGCGGGCAGGAAAGGGGCTCCTGCCTCGGTGCATGTGGGGCCATGGCACCCGCTGTCAGTCCATCCTCATGAGCCAGGAGGCAAACTCACCAACTTCCCTTGTTTTGCAACCAACTCTAGGTTGACCCTCATGGCAAACAGGGGTGTACCATTAAAACTAAGGAAAGAATAAGAAAGAAAGAAACAAACCAACCAACCCAACAAACAAACAGGCCACACACATCCCCTCTCTGGAATCCAGCTGGCTGATAGGATTAACAAACGCTGAATCTTCAGAAAACCCTGACACCTGAGCAGTGTTGGGTTACGGTCATTTCCATGCATGTGCACAGTGCCTCAGATTCCCCAGGGAGAGAAAGCAACAATAGTTAAAAATCTACGGAAATCAAACTGGAGGCTGTAGAGGGGAGGGTGGGCAGATAGGGAAAACCTCCAAAAAGAAAAACCAACTTAATACATCCCATAAACCATTAATATATTGAAACACCACATACTCATTGACAAGAAACTAGTGTAAAGGCTACACAGTGTGTTCTCAACAGGATGGTGCTGAACATTGTCTCCACAGCAGGTGCTTGGCCATCCCAGAAAAGGAAGATTTTTGCATACTTCTAGAATGAGTTCAATTTCCAACAAAAAGGAAAAAAAAAAAAAAAAAAAAAAAGAGTAGGTTCTTCACTCCAGTAAGGGGCCTATTAACAGTCTGCTTCATTAGGAAAATAATGCAGGGTTCACAAAGGTCGTAAGCTGTAAACAGTATCACTGTCCACTTGCTGACAGCAGATTTGGCAAAGGGTTCTCTCTCTACATCTCGTGTCAGTTTGAGGGCCTGAAGAGGAGAAAAAAGAAAAGACAGTGAGATTACTGCATGTAGGAAAAAAAAAATACACCACAACAAAAAAGGCAACTAAGCAAACTTCCAAATAAAACAACAGCTTACACTGAGAAGCAATTTAGATATGTTTACACCCAGGAACTTCAAACATATAGCAAGGAATAAGATGACCCTGCCTGAAAATACTTTTTCCTTTCCAAGGTTCATGTGTTTCTTTTCTGGCTTAGCTGCTCCCAAACAGGACAGAAAAAACCCTCTCTCTGATGAAAAATGATGGTCAAGTCTGATTTACAGAAACCCAGTGTATTGTCTATTTGTTAAGCATATTTCCAGGTAGAAGCGATGAAGGACCTTCCAGTTTTTCACCATTTTTCACTATCACCTTTTCTCAGCATCACCAAAAAGCTGAATAAATCTTCTGTAAGTGTTTGACGTCCACCACCACCCTTGAAGGACAGATGAAGAGGCTGCTCAAGACAAACAGTAAGGAGCCACAAATTTCAGTGTGGCCTTCGGAGTTTTCCATTTTTCTGCTAACACAACACACCAGCAACAGATAGGGTCCAGCTGACTTTAAAAACTGGGTTAGGGTCTATTTTATTCGGTAGCAAAGAAATTTCTATGTCGAGAGAGAAAAGCGGGGAAGAAACCTTGGATACAGCATGGAGATGACTATGAAGGGACCTGGTAAGTAGGTAAAACACTGAAAATAGATGAACATTTCAACCAAGGGGGCCAAGGGGACAGAGTTTTAAAGGTACTCAGTGGCTTCAATATATAGGCAGGCACCACATAGGGTTTCGGAAAATATGTACATTTAAACATTCCCATGAAATCCTCTCACATTTTCAGAAATGTAACATGCTGGACATGTAACTTCTGGCTCTGAAACGGCTTCTGAAAACAGGGTTTAGTCCCCTCACATCACTTACTACCTTTTGAGGATTTTCCCCAAGACGAAAGATTTATGATTTTTTTATACAGTGCAAGAATAAGGGGACATTGGAAATCAAAAATCCATTGACTTGATTACAGGAATGCCTTTACTTTCAAAAGACCCTACTAGCAGGCACCGTCATAAAAAATGGTGGATTTAGTGGAATTGCTAGTTTAACCAGGACGGGCATCTCCTGCAAGGAAGATCACTCAAAGACTGTGTCCTGTCTAAGGTGCCAGGCACTGATCCTATGATAACAATTTATTAAAATGACCTATTCTGATAATGCTAAATGATTGATGGAAATTTAATCATTTTGTCTCATGGTTATTAGAGCAACAGTGTGACAGCTGCTCCCTGCGCCATTAGGGGAGAACTTCATTCAGCACAGCTTAGGGAGCAGACAGATTGTGCATTTCACCCAAACAAAATTTGGCTTTAGCCTTAATTATGTGGAGGGGTTTGGGGTAGACTGTTTTGTGAATAAAGGGATTTCCGACTGGATCAACATATTGATTTCTTCATTTTCAAAGGGCAAATTAACGCTGGCTGTTCGTTAATGTGACTGCCTGGCAATGACTCCATTTGGTGTGCCCCGATGGCTGTAACAAGGTCAGCAGAAGACACCCAGACAGGCCTGGTAGCCCCCAGTAAAACCTGGCTAGTGGCTCGTAAGCTGCTCAAACAAGTGCAAGCCCATTTCTCTACTTTTAAATCCTGAGCACCAGAGGGGGCTGGAAATGAGTGACTTCCCAAAGCACAGCATCCTCTGAAGGCAAGGCTCGGGTCCCAAATGCCACAGCCCAGCAAGTCAGCTCCCTCTCAGGCAGCTGCCAGTTATGCTGAGCACAGGCTTAACTGTGGCACGTGTGAGAAGTCTTGCTGACTTTGAATAAATCTCTTGATTAAAACACTACAGAAACTCCCAATATTGCTAAATGTTTAATATTATGCTATGAAACCAAGTGATGAGAAAAAAACTGGAGGATGGGTTAAGTTCAGCATCTTTTGTGGAAGTGGTACTGCCCAATATTTTTTCTTGTGGGACCTGTACTTCAGACAGTGCCAACATTTTGGAGACAGATGCACAGCTGAGATGTGCATCACACAGCAGAACCAAACTATGTTCCATTTTCACAGCTCTGTTTACACGGACTTTGAAAATGGATTAAAAATGAAAAGAGCTAGCTCAAAGTCTTAACCTGCCTGCCTTCAAGTCGCCCTGTTAAAATCTGCAACAGACTCACGTAGTCTTGCTTTCTGTCTCACCACAAAAAGCCTATTTACCCTGAGTTAGTAGCCTGCTGCCCCACAGTGATGAAAACTGGATCAATGCAGGGAAATAAGTGCTCCACTTACATCTCCATTTATCACAGAATCATAGAATTGCTTGGGCTGGCAGGTATAGTCCAATGATGGTATAGTCCAATCCCCCTGAAGTGAGCAAGAACATCTTCAACTAGATCAGGTTGCTCAGAGCCCCATCCAACCTAGTGTTGAGCAGTTTCAGGGATGGGTCATTCACCAACTCACTGGGCAACCTGTTGTGGTGTTTTACCACCCTTATTGTAACAAACATTTTCCTTTTATTTTATCTAAATCCACCCTATTCTGGTTTAAAACCATTACCCTTATCCTATTGCAACAGGCCCTGCTAAAAGCTTTGCAAACAGTCATGCAGGAGACGAGATGTCCCTTTCTTCTGTCCTATCCTCTGCCCTCCCATCCTCTACCTTACTACTGCCCAGCTACAAATGTTTCTCTCATTTTACTCTGTGGCCAAGCTGACTGGTTCTGATTTCCCTCCAGCAACAACGTTTCTTCACCTCTGTCTCACATCATTCCACCACTTAACTGGACGCTCAAGCCCCATGCCAGCTTGTGCACCATCAGAGCAGCTCTGAAGAATTATTTTCCACCTATTGCTTTCTTCCTTTGATTCCCAATGGTGCCAATTATGGAGCACTGGAAATTTCTTCAGAACAGAAAGGGTGACGCGGCGATGCTCTGGTTTATCAGTGAGCCAACCCAGCAACCAGCACGTAAAGTTTCCTGTTGGAAGAAAAGCTATGTGCTCCTTGACATGATTATGGGATGAGAATCTGCACTACCAACACACAGCTCTTCTGTATGACAGCCTAACATGGATCTCCTGACTTGTCTGGAAGGCTTGTTGAGTGGATCTCATCTTGGAAAGTATCACCCTTTAGAGGTCTGTAAAACAAGCATTCTCCCTGGGTACCACTTTGCAACAACTCTCCAGGGACAGGAAATCCCAGTAACTGCTTTTACTGTCCAGACACTTGGGATACAAACATTGTCAAAGAAGAGTGTGTCCTTTAGTGACAGATGTGCATTCATTCTGGTGCCTCTGCCCTTCGATTTGTCATCGCCTCTAGCAACAGAGCTCCTACTCCAAAGTGGGGGTAGGCTCAAAAAGCAAGACTTGATTACGTGTGGTTACAAGTTAATATTCTGCCTGAGGTTTCACAGCTAAAGACTGGAAAATACACAGAATTTATTTAAAAACAAGTAAGGAAGATAATTACTGTGGCCAGTCTTTCTGTAATGACAAAATTACAGCATGAGATTTATATTTCGAGCACAATAAAAACTGGAAATCCCAATGCCACAGCAGGTATGCCACAGTGACACCCTACAGGCTTAGCATACGCTGCACTAGGATGGCCCTGTGCTGAGGGACAACATTGAGGCTGGGGACAAAGCCCAAGGACAAAAAAAAAAAAGAGTTGGCAACTTTATGTGACTTTATTTCCTGAACTTTCAGGCATGTTGCAACTTTGCTTTTTCTCTTTAAATTCTGCTCATAAAAATAGGTCTTTCCCAGCTCATAACTGGGTGACAGAGTATAAGAGGAAAGAGGAAGAATGCCAGCACAGAACCAGGACTTATGGGAGCTAAAATGTTGCAGTGCTTGCAGCTGCATAAGCACAAAAAGCACGAAAGTGTCCCTTTTCCTTCTGTTGCTGCTCTTCTTTTCCAAGGAATACTACAAACCATAGGAGACCACCAAGTGTTTTGGAAGTAAATGTAACTTCAGACAGCAGATCATCCTCTGATCCTCTATCAGCTCCCTGGGAAAGAAGGCCAGAACTGAAGTAAGCTGCTACAAGTATTTATAAGCAGGTTATTTTCACATCCCACTGGTCTACAGAATGATATAAAAGTCCAGGCTGGAAGGGATCAGCGTCATCTGGTCCAACTTTCTGTTCAAGGCAGGGCCTTAGGTTAGATTATTCACGATCCTGTCATGTATGGAGTATTTCCAGCACAGGAGAAGCCACTGCTCCTCTGGGCGTTTAATTTTACCCACAAAGGTGGGTGAAGGCCCTTCTACCCATTTTACAGTTGAAAAGGAAACTCTGAGCCCAAGCACACTCTTGATACACAATTGCTGTTGAGAACCATCACATCTGGCTGGGTTTAATCCTCTGCCCTGGCCAACACAGGAGAGCTTAGATACAGGACAGCTTCTCTCCATAAGGTCAACAGGTTTCTTAGTTGAAAACCTTTTGGTCAATTTTATCCCCTGTATTTTGTTCAGGAGCCCAAGGAGTGGGATGGAAATCCTGCCAGTTATGGGTTACACTGCCAATGACTGAGAGACATCAGCCTGGGTACTCAACACAGCCCTTGTTAGGCAGGATGCTGCTGGAAAAGAGGAAGAAGGCCAAAAATACTTACAAAATACATCTTTTTTTAGGGGTAAAGCCCATCAGCTGGAATTAATGTGCTTTCTTTAGGTACTCGGGAGCACTGGGAAGGAGATGTCTACTGTGGATCACAAAAAGATGTGTAACTATTGCACCTGTGCAAGACCAGAGAAGGATTTTGCTTGCATTTTTGAATCTGAAGAAAAAGAGTCACATTTTAGAGTGAAAGGCACCTGCATGGCTAGAGACATCCTGAATTATGGGTTTATAGTGCTAGGGAAACATGCTATGTACCCGTAATTCTGAATGTGCTCATAGACAGCTTCTTTTTCTTTGCCAAGTACCAAGCCTATTTTAAAAACGTCTTTTCCACTATGGAATCT